GCAAGCATGCATTTTCTGTGTAAAAGTTTACACAGTGAATTAAATTCCATAATTTTGTACAGATTATTGCTGGGGATTGGTTACAGTTTTCAGTGTGTCAGCATTGACATTATTTCCATTCTGTTTCCATTAATCTAACTTCCGTTCATCTTCTTCCTTCTCATCTTTTACTCTTAGATATTTGTTGTTTGGTTTCTTATAGCTCATTCATTGTTTAAGGGACACACAACTCATGGGTGATAGTATTTTGTAATCAAATCTATTGTTTGGCTGGGGGGGTGATCTTCTGGATTTGTCATCAGTTTTTGAAATATTTAGGCATATGTCCTTTGACATGCCAGAATGTTTTAAATTGATGTTTTTAAATTTTTGAGTACATATTGTACAAACATTAGGAAACCAAAAGGCAAGCCAAAAAAAAAATCGCTTATAATCCCGTCTTCCATAGAATACCACTGTTAACATCTTGATTCTGTTTTCAGCATCAACCTCAATTGAAACTAGTCCACAATGAAGGTTGTCAGCCCCAATCCCCACTTAATGAAATAGCAGTGTATATTTAACAAAATCTTCAGGTGACTTGGATGCATTCTAAAGAGAACCATCAATGTAGGCTCTGGGGAAAAAATCTTGTATAGAGAGAAACCTCATCAGAGCTGTACTTTAAAAGGTTTACTCATCCAGCAAGGCAGAACATACAGGAGTTTATCTTAAATAGCATTTTGTTGTGTGCCATCAAGTTGATTCCAACTCATAGCGACCATATAACAGAGTAGAACTGGGCTAAAATCTTTGTAAGAACAGGTCTCCAGGTCCTTTTCTACTGCAAGGTAGGTAATGAGTCAAAACTTCCTACTTAACTGAACATTTAACCATTGAGCCACCAGGAGAGTTCCTTTTTAATAATATTTTTGTTGTTAAAGTGCCATCATGTCTTCTCAGACTCATAGCAACCCTGTACAGAGCTTCTGAGGAGCAACTGGTGGATTTGGACCACTGACCTTATAGTTAACAGTACAATGCTTATCCTACAGTGCCACACTAGGATTTCATTTGTAATATAGTATGTTGTTGTAGTTAACTGCCATCAAGTCAGTTCTGACCCATAGCAACCCTGTATAAGGTTTCCATGGAGCGACTAGTAAGCTTGAACCACTGACCTTGCGTTTCAAACCGACTTTGCCATCCAGCACATTAACCCACAGTGCCAAACCAGGACTCAAATAATATAGTGGTGGTGGTGGTTATGTGCCATGGAGTTGGTTCCAACTCATAGCGACCCTGTATATGGTTTCCGAAGCTGTAAATCTTTGCTGGAGCAGAAAGCCTCATCTTTCTCCCTTGGAACCACTGGTAGTTTTGAACTGCTGACTGTGAGATTAGCAGCCCAATTCATAACCACTACACTACGAGCACTCCTTAATAATATAATGTAGGTGGGGTTAATAAGGACTTAAATAAGTATAAAGAGAATACAAAGCAAAGAACTGGTTTTAATAGCACCAAATGACAATTCAGATCTAGACATTTATGTTTAGATATCCAGATGGAAAGCATTTAATTGGCAAAGTGAGTCTGAAGTTTGCAAGTGTGGTTAGGATTGAAGACATATATGTGGATGTTTATCTAATTCCAGGTGTTGTTAAACTGAGAGTGGGAGTGTAAGTAGAGATGCTATTAAGAGATCATTGAAGGATTGCAAGAAGCAACTGTGATTGGATTGAGAATTGGAATCCTGGAAATTGCATAGCCTTACAGTGATGGTTCTCAAACTTTATGGGAGAATTGGTGCCCTGAAGTTTATAGTAGGCTACTCCTGGTGTGATGCTATAGGATCAGCACTGGACTGTGAACCACAAGACCAGCCGTTCAAACCAACCATCTGCTATGAGTTGGAACTGAATTGACAGCATTTAATAACAACAACAATAGTTAATAGCAGTTACTCTATATTCGTTTAAGGGAAGCATCCATGTACAAATCTGTTTTCTATTCCACAGATGTGATACACTCTAGACATAATATTGTGTACATGAATACCAGCCACCTTCATATTGCCATATCTGTTTATACAAACCTATTGGAGTTCAATGTGGTTCATTACTTGAAGACCAGAGGCCTAAGTTTACAGGCTATTTCTTGTTAATATAGGAATTCTTTGTCAGTAAAAATAATGCTAATAATATCAGTGTCAATTCATTTACGCTTTTTCTGTCATTAATGGATCATTTTTTATACATTAAGAAACTACCCTAATGTGACAAAGTTGTAGATGTTAAAATACAGTGTCTTTTATTTGGAAACCTAATTGTCTCCAAAAGAGATTATACTGGAAACTAGGAAGGAATTTCTCAGAACATGAAAATTGTTATAAATGTGTATTAAGTAACATGTAATAAAAGCTCGTTAGTTAGGGCAGAAAAATTGGTAGAAAATGAAAATAGTCTTTGAGAAAAACTGTTTAGGAGAAAGGATTTAAGAGGTAAAAGATGTAAACTCCCATTGCCATAAAGTTCATTCTGACTTATAGTGACTCTGCAGGACAAAGGGGAGCTCACTGGCTCCATAGGACAAGCACTGGACTGCTAATCACAAGGTCGGTGGTTCACAGCTGCTCTGCATGATAGAGATGAGTCTTTCTGCTCCCACAAAGGTTTACAGCCTTGAAAATTCTGTACAGGATCACTATGAGTTGGAACCAACTTGTTGGCACTTATAAACAACAGGACAAAGTAGAACTGCTCCTTAGGGTTTCCAAGGCTGTAATCTATGAATAGAAGTGTACTGCTCAGAGAACAAATAAAACTCTGTTGGAAAAAGTAATAGCCAGAATGTTCTTTAAAAGCCAGGATGGTGAGACTTTGTCTCACATACTTTGGGCATATTATTAGGAGAGACCAGTCCTTGAAGGAGGACATCGTGCAAAGTGAAGGATCAGTAAATTATAATAAGTTAATTTGTGTGTGGGCTTTCTTGGTCCTATTGGTACCAAGTTTAAGAGACATGAATTCTGTTCTGTTCTTGCTGAAAAAAGATCCCAAATTCAAATATATTTTATAGAAACCCAAAAGATTCATTATCTCATGGCTTAGTTATGTTGTTAGGTGCCATCAAGTTGATTCCGACTCATAGTAATGCTATGCATAGTAGAATGAAACACTGCCTGGTCCTGTGCCATCCTCACAATTGTTAAGTTTGAGCTCATTGTTGATTCCACTATATCAGTCCATCTCATTGGAGTCTTCCTCTTTTTTACTGACCCACCACTTCATCAAGCTTGATGTCTTCCTGCTGGGACTTACCCCTCCCAACCACATGTCCAAAGAGTGAGAGACGAAGTCTCACCCTCCTGGCTTCTACAAAACATTCTGGCTGTACCTTCTCTGAGACAGATTTGTTTTTCTGGCAGTCCATGGTACTTAAGTATTCTTTGCCAACACTAATTCAAATACATCTGTTTTTCTACCGTCTTCTTATTCATTGTCAACCTTCACATTCATACTGGGTAATTGAGAATACTATGGGTTGAATCAAGCACACTTTAGTCCTTGAAATGACCTCTTTGCTCTTTAATACTTTAAAGAGGTCTTTTGCAGAAGATTTGTCTAATGCAGTCTGTCAGTTTAATTTGCCTGCTGTTTCCAAGAGTGTTGATTGTGGATCCAAACAAAATTAAGTCTTTGGCAACTTCAGTCTTCTCCATTGATCATTATGTTATTTACTGGTCTAGTTGTGGGGATTTTTCTTTTCTTTACATCGAGGGCAATATCCAAACTGAAAGCTTAATTACAGACCATAGAGAACATAAAATCATGATTGGCAACATCAGTTCGCCACTTTTTTAGGCAGAACTGAAAAGTGGTGGGGAGGACCATGATTGGGATACATACACAACTGCAGATTAGAAAGGTTTATAGGATTGCTTCTGGGCCCCTTAAGCCACCTAGCTACTCGCTATTGGAGAGGAGGGTGTTTGTATAACTCATGACCCTGTAACCCTGGCCTTCCAACTTCTATTAAGAACATACCCAAGCAAGCCCACTGAGGGCAAGGCTGTCCCTTCCTGGCCTGGCTTCTGCTGTTGTTAAGTGCTGTAGAGTGGATTCAGACTCGTAGAGGCACTGTATAAGATTTCTGAAAAGTAGGACCTTGAAGTTAGCAGTGCAGTGCTTATCCTGCAGCACCACACAAGGACTCCCTGGGATGGCTAGGGGAATCATAGTCTACTTCAAATGTACTCTACCTAAGGATAAAGCTTCTGCCCACTGCTTCTTAATGATCAGAAAGAATTTAATTAGAGAATGAATTTATGTCAAGACTCAAAATGAAGTTAGAGCCCCCTCTGTAAACCACAGGCTCAAAAACCAAGTACTTAGAATTTAAGCTGTAATACAACTCTTAAATAATTTCTGTGGCTTGGGCAAGTCCCTGAAATAGTTAATTTGAAAAATAGGAATAATTGTTTTCAAAATTAGAGGAGGTTGTTGTTGTAGGTGCCATTGTGTTGAACCGATGCACAACAGAATAAAACACTGCCCGGTCCTGCACTATCCTCACAATCATTGTTATGCTTGAGCCCACTGCTGTTGCCACTGTGTTAAATGTTATATGTGGTGCTGTAGGATAAACACTGGACTGTGAAACATAGTGTCAGCTGTTCAGACCCACCAAATGCTGCTTAGAAACCCTATAAAGGGTCGCTATGAGTCAGAACCAACTTGTCACTAACAACAATGCTAAATATTATATATTAAATTTTCCATACAGTGTGTAGCAAGGAAACTCTTCCCATAGTTACCATTATTGTTTGGGCATGATTTATTATTCATAACTAATAATAGGTAGTGTATGTATAGTACTATACATCTTACAGTATGTTGCAGATTGATCTGAAAGAGCTTATTCACTAGCATACCTATAGCATGCCAGTAAGCTAGAATTGTCTTCAAAAAGTGATTTAAAATTTTATGATGTTAATATGTAGTGTTCTGTTTTGACAGGAAGTACTTAAACAGCTACAAGGAAGTATTGAAGATGAAGCTATGACTTCTTCTGGACAGATTGACTTATTAGAACGTCTTAAAGGTAGGAATTTTTAAAGTGTTTTACAGTAATTTTTAAGCTCAGATTGTCGATTGTAGGTGTGGTGCTGTAGAATAATCTCTGGACTGCTAACCACAAGGTCGGTGGTTCAAAACTTGCCAGCTGTTCTTCAAAAACCCTCTCCCAGGGTTACTATGAATTGAAATTGATGTAACACTTAACAGCAATATACATTCAAATGCAGCTTTCTCTTGGTTTGAATATTGAGATCAGTTTTCTTGTTTTCAGTCTTAACTGATGGGATGTCCAAGGGAACTTTAAAAAAAAAAAAAAAATTTGGAAAAAATGGAATTAAATGATTTGTTTGAAAGGTCCATGTCAAAACATGGAAAGTACTTAATAATTGAAGCTGGGCAGGGAAATTGCCCTTTAGTCCCAAAGTACTATTACCTAGAGGGACTTGGTGGACATTTGTCTTATTTTTCTTTAATATACTCTTTATTTTCCTTGGCCCAGGCTGGCTTTGCATGAAAAGTTTAGTCGTTCAATTTCTACATAAATTTATTTAGTCACATGTATTTGTGGCTTCCTGTTAGTAAATCAGAGCTGCAGGCTTCTGAACCAAGCTGTGTATCCTTTTCTAGAGTCTATGTGTCAAGGCTCAGTATATTGTTTTTTTGCAAGCCCTCAGAGAGCCAGCCCTATTGAGACTCAGTCACTTTCTGTTTTTTGAAAGACTCTTCCTTTTGGGTCACCTTCTTACCTTTACCTCAACCAGGGGTCAGTAGATTTCTCTTAGTACACTTCATTTGTGATAAGGATTTCCTTTGTTTCCTGCATAAACTTCTGCTCAGTTGTTACCATAATTTCATACTCCTTCAGAAATATATATTTTCAGTCATTTTATAAAGTCAGTTAAATTTGGAGGTCTAAAATATAAAACTAAGATATCACCTTTTAAACACTGTAACAAAATTAAGAATATCATAAAATACAGCAAGTTATATAAGAACTTATTTCTATTTTATTTAGAGCTTAACTTAGACAGCAGTAATTTCCCTGGAGTGAAACTACGGTCAAAAATGTCCCTCCGTTCTTATGGAAGCCGTGAAGGATCTATATCAAGTCGTTCAGGGGAGTGTAGTCCTGTCCCTATGGGTTCATTTCCAAGAAGAGGGTTTGTCAATGGAAGCAGAGAAAGTACTGGCTATTTAGAAGAACTTGAAAAAGAAAGGTAACTTTTGTTCATCAAAAACCTAAACATTGATTTATATACTATAATTTATTGCTGTTGTTTTTGTTTTGTGATACAAGATATAAATTCTGAAGCATATATGATAAATCATTGCTAATATAGAGCACTACATTATGTTAAAGATAACATGTTAGTGATTAAATTTATCTTAAATCTAAAAATGTAAACAAGATAATTTCTTAAGCTACTAAGATTTCTTCTATGTCACTTCAGTATTTCTAATTATGTGTTGAAGCACTATACATAATCACAGTGTTTACATCTGATTAAAATATATAATTAATTTTTTATTTAATTTCTGGTAGTCTGTTAAATTAAATTCAGAGTGTACTGTATCCTGTATAAGGTGATTGGTTCCATCATAGAAGTGATCACAAGTGAAATGTGTCTCAGTAGATCAGTTTCAATGTCTGTAAAAATTACTTGAACTATGTAATGAGTTATGGTTCCTCACAGCTGGTATATTTTTCTCTTCCTGAAGTTAAAATGATCTCAGTACAAATATTAGAATATCATTATTAAGAACTTCAGTAAGTTTTTCACCTCCCCAGAAGATTGCATTTTTTAAGGCAGGAATGATGCTTTATTATTTATATTCCTAAAAGTTCTATTAGATGCTCCAGTGTTAGAGTGTATAAATGTTACATATTAGCTCCATGACCTTGGTGATCATCATTAAACTTTTTGGGTCTTCTGTAAAATGGGAATTGGTACTAGCTTGTGGGATTGTTGTGCAAATTAGTTGTTTTTTATTGTAGTTGAGAATATACACAGCAGAACATACACCATAACATGTAAAGTTCAGAGATGGTGATTACATTTTTTAGTTTTGCAACCATTCTCATCCTTCTCTGAGTGTTTCTTCCCTATTAACATAAGCTCAGGGTCCCTTAAATGTCCTCTATAATCTTTCAAGTTGTTAAAAAAAAAAAAATAGAAACAACTCTTACGGCAGACATTATTTGTTAGGCTAAGCAATACTTTAGTTTTAAGAAGACTTTAGGGGATAGTTGTTGTTTAAGGCTTAAAGGTTATCTCAAGGCATAGGATGTTAGTTTCGTGAATTCATCCAGCCTCCATTGTTGTTGTTAGGTGCGGTCCAGTCGGTACCGACTCATAGTGACCCTGTGTATAACAGAATGAAACCCTGCATGGTCCTGGAACAACCTCACAGTTGTTGCCACGCTTGAACCCATTGATGCTGCCATACTGCCAATCCATCTCTCTGGGGGTCTTTCTCTTTTTCTCTGACCGTCCACGTTATCAAACATGACATCCTTCTCTAGCGACTGGTCCTTCCTGACAATATGTCTGAAAGATGAGAGACAAAATTTGGCCATCCTGCCTCGAAGGAGCACTCTGGCTGCACTTCTTTCAATGTCTATCTGTTGGTTCTTTTGGCAGCCCATGGCACTTTCAATATTCTCCTCCAACACCATAACTCAAAAGCATCAATTCTTCTACGATCTTCCTTATTCACTGTCCAGCTTTCGCATGCATATGAGTTTATTGAAAATACCAGGGTTTGGGTCTGGCGCACCTTAGTCTTCAAGCTGACGTCTTTCCTCTTCAACATTTTAAAAAGGTCTTGTGCAACAAATTTGCCTAATGCAATACATCATTTGATGTCTTGATTGCTGCTTCTATGAGTGTTGATAGTTGATCCAAGAAGAATGAAGTACTTGACAACTTCAGTCTTTGCTCTGTTGATAAGAATGTTGTTTATTGGTCCAGTGTTGAGGATTTTTGTTTTCTTTACATTGAGATGCAATCCATATGTGGTCTTTGAATCTTCATCATTAAGTATTTTAAGTTGTCTTCACTTTCAGCAAGAAAGGTTTTATCAGCTGCATATCACAGGTCATTAATGAGTTTTCCTCCAATCCTGATGCAACATTTTTCTTCATATAACCCAGCTTCTCAGATTATTTGCTCAACATACAAGTTGAATAAGTATGGTGAAAAAATACAGCCCTGTTGCACACCTTTATTATTCATTGTTCCCATGTTCTGTTTGAACAACTGCCCCTTGGTCCATGTACAGATTCTTCATGAGCACAATTAAGTGTTCCAGAATACTCATACTCCACAATATTGTCCATAGCTTGTCATGATCCACACAATCAAAAGCCTTTGCATAGTCAATAAAGAACAGGTAAACATCCTTCTGATATTCTCTGCTTTCAGCCAAGATCCATCGGACATCAGCAATGATATCTCTCGTTCCACGGCCTCTTCTGAATCCAGATTGAACCTCTGGAAGTTGTCAATGTATGCTTGCAGCCATTTCAGTATTACCTTTAGTAAAACTTTACTTGCGTGGGATATCAGATATTGTCCCATGATTTCTGCATTCCGTTGGGTCATCTCTCTTTGGAATGGGCACAAATACAGATCTTTTCCAATCAGTTGGCCTGTTAGTTGTATTCCAGGTTTCTTGGCATAGATGAGTAAGTGCCTCCAGTGCTGCCTCTCTTTCTTGAAAGATTTCAGTTTTTATTCCATCAATTCCTGGTGCCTTGTTCTTTGCCAATTTCTTCAATGCACCTTGAACTTCCTTCCTAAGTATCATTGGCTCTTGATCCTATGCTACCTCTTGAAACGGTTGAACATTAACCATTTCCTTTTGGTACAGTGACTCTGTATATTCCTTCCATCTTCTTTTGATGCTTTCTGCATCATTCAGTAATTTTCCTAGAGAGTCCTTCAATAATGAAAGTCGAGACTTGAATCTTTTCTTCAGTTACCCCAGCTTGAGTAATGCTGAGCGTGTTCTTCCCTTTTGGTTTTCTGATTCCAGGTCTTTGCACATTTCATTGTAATATTTGACCTTTTCTTCTCAAGCTGACCTTTGAAATTTTCTGTTCATCTTCTTTCATTTGCTTTAGCATCTCTACATTGGAGAGCTAGTTTCAGTGTCTCTTCTGGCATCCATTTTGATCTTTTCTTTCTTTCTTGTCTTAATGACTTTTTGTTATCTTCCAGTATAATGTTCTTCATGTCATCCCACAACTCTTCTGATCTTTCGTCTTTAGTGATTACTGTATCAGATCTCTTCTTCAGGTATCTCTAAATTCAGGTGAAATATATTCAAGGTCATGTTTTGGCCCCTGTGGACTTGTTTTCATTTTCTTCAGCTTCAGTTTGAATTTACATATGAGTAATTGATGATCTGTTCCACAGTCTGCCCCTGGCCTTGTTTTCACTGATGCTATGGAGCTTTTCCATCTTCTCTTTCCGCAGATGTAGTCTATTTGATTTCTTTGTATTCCATATGGTCGTTTCCGTGCGTGTAATCGTCTCTTATGCTGTCTAAAGAAGGTATTTGAAATGAACAAATCGTTGATTTTGCAGAATTCTGTTATGCAATCTCCAGCACTATTTCTATCACCAAGGCTTAATTTTCCAACTACTTATACTTCCTCTTTGTTCCCAACCTTTGCATTCCAATCTCCAGTAATGATCAATACACCTTGATTGCATGTTTGATCAATTTCAGATTGAAGAAGTTGGTAGAATTCTTCTATTTTGTCTTCACTGACTTCAGTGGTTGGTGCATACATTTGAATAACAGTGGTATTAACTGCGCTTCCCTGTAGGCACATGGGTATTTTCCTGTCACACACATCGTTGTACCTCATGACTGATCTGGGTATGTTCTTTTTGACAATGAATTCAACACCATTCCTCTTCAATTTGTTACTCCTCTCATAGTAAACCATATGGTTGTCAGATTCAAAGTGGCCAATACCAGTCCATTTCAGCTCACTAATCCTAAGATATCGATGTTGATGCATTCCATTTCATTTTTGACAACTTCCAATTTTCCTAGATTTATAATTCGTACATTCCATGTTCCAATTATTAATGGATGTTTACAGCTGTTTCGCTTTATTATGAGTTGTGCCCCATCAGCAAATGAAGGTCCAGTGGGCTTTTCTCCCACGGGCTTTACTTATTCATGTCCTTACTGTCAACTCTACTTTGAGGTGGCAGCTCTTCCGTAATCGCATTTTGAGTGCCTTCCAACCTGAGGGGCTCATTTTCCGGCACTATATCTGACAGTGTTTCTCTGCTATTCATAAGGTTTTCAGTGACTGAATATTCGGAAGTAGTTCATCACTCCTTCTAACTAGTTTGTCTTCATCTGGAAGCTTATCTGTCCACTGTGGGTGACCCTGCTGGTATTTAAAATACCAGTGGCATAGCTTCCAGAATCACAGCAACTCAAAGCCACCACAGTACAGCAAACTGACAGATGAGTGGTGGCCAGCTTCCATTACTCCAGAAAATTTGGATTCCATGAGAATTTTTAATACTGTTCTATTTTCCCCCTTTTGACCATGATTCCTCTACAGAATCTGATCAAAATATTCAGTAATGGTAAATGGTCGCCGTTCAGTTCTTCTGACGTCATAATAAAGAAGACCATTATTCATGGAGGCAGTTTGGTATACATTTCATACCCTCCTCCTAAAGCATGTCATTAGGCAAATTAATTGGGATGTTGCATGAAGCCATGACCCTAAACCTCCAAACCAGGACATCAAACTCCATGAGGTATTTGACTGTATGTAAACAGCCTTAGGAGCTTTGATGTGGCACTCTGGGTTAATGAGCCAGACTGCAAAGTCGTTTGAACTGCAAGGTTGGTGGTTCAAGCTCACCAGTCACTCCTTGGAAACCCTATACAGGGTCGCTATGGGTCGGAACTGACTCGATGGCACTTAACAACAAGAAGCAGTCTTAGCACCTACTCTCCTTCCTTCCCCTCCTCCCACCCCCCACTGTAACTATATCATTCATACAACTTTTGCCAATTCAGCTTTATACAACCATGCAAGTTATAGACAGCAATTACATTAATCAGCTGTGACACTCTACTCTTAATCAAAGTGATTTTTCTCCTTGTAAGCAAAATGTAAGGAGCTCTGATGGCGTAGTGGTTATAAATTGGGTTGCAAACCTTAAAGTCAGCA